TTGCGTACCGCGCGCACACACACACCCCCCCTCCCTCCCTCCCTCCCTCCCACAAAGCCGGGCGGGCCGTGCGCGTACCTTCCCGCTTGGCCTTTCACTGAATGCCTGCTTCTGTGTCGGTCACACGAGTGTAACACAATGTAGCCGTGTGCAGATTATCAGGAGTCCTTCAGGAGTTCTTGGCACGCTGTTTGCTGCTGCTGCAGCTCAGAGGAGGATGATTCATCTTCTCCTCCGGGCTGTGACTTGACTTCGAAGGTTTCGCAACACTGGGTGGCTTTATAACGACATCATTGCCGGCTGTGTGTGTGTGCCTCCCAAAAGCTTTCTTTGCAAACTTGCGAGCGAAAGAGCAGCGAGCGGCAAGGGGGGGGGACAAATCTTAAAACAGCAGCCCCCCCCTCTTTCCTAGGGAAAAACAATGGCGCTTTACATCTGCCACAGAAGCTTTCTTTGCAAACTTGCGAGCGAACGCGCAGCGAGCAGCAAGGGGGGGGGAAAACAAATCTTAAAACAGCAGCCCCCCCCCTTTCCTGGGGAAAAACAATGGCGCTTTACATCTGCCAGCTCTTCCTCTTAGCTGCCGATTTAACGCTGGCGTCCGCGATCTCCTGCGTCCTTTACACGCTCACCTGCCTGTGTATTGGGACTGTCGTCAGTTTGTTGATCCTTCTCTGCTCCTTTGGGGTGGCGAAGAACGTGAGGAAAATGGTGGGCCGAATGGGGGGTGCGCTCCTCAGCTTGGCTTGGAGGAGCCCCGTTGGAAAGATGCTTTTGAGGAAATCTGAACATCCAGAGTTTGAGGTGCTGGCAGCGCCTCATGGCCAGGAGGCAAACTGGGACCCAGTTCCGAAGGAGGAAGGCGCATCCGCCACTAAACTGCCAGGGACTCGGAAGAAATCACAGAAGCCTCTGGGGCAGAGTCAGCTTCCTCCGAAAGGTACTTCCCAGGGCAGCTCAAGCTGTTTTTCTGGCCCATAACTTGCTTATTCTCTGCCCAGCCTGGTGTTTTCTTTCTTTCTTTCTTTCTTTCTTTCTTTCTTTCTTTCTTTCTTTCTTTCTTTCTTTCTTTCTTTCTTTCTTTCTTTCTTTCTTTCTTTCTTTCTTTCTTTCTTTCTCTT